CTCTGTCTAACAGCCCCGCCGATTTCTCTCTCCTGCCTCACTGTTGGCTGCTCAGCTCTTTATTAGACCATCAAGTGTTTTAGACAGGCAAAGTAACACAGCTTCACAGAGTTAAACAAAGGTAACATAAAGTAACACACCTTAAAATAATATTCTACTACACTATATGGTAAAAAGAACGGACTCCTACATATTGTCCTCTAGGTTACACACACACACACACACACACACACACACACACACACACACACACTGCACGTGCAAAAATACACTGTTTCATTAGTGTTCACAAAGTAAAAGAACTCTCAGCCAAATTGTTTCACCAGGCCTAAGCATATCTCTGTTGAGAGTCTACATTCTCTATACTGATTTATTTCCAAAAGAAAATGGAAAATTGGATCTGGGTTGGTGGCTCAGGGTGAAGAGTACTTGCTTATTTTTGCAGAGGACCTACCTGGTTTGGGTTCCCAGGACCCGAGCGGTGGCTCACTATTGTCTGTAACTCTGGTAGTTAAGGTACTGATGATGCTTCCTGGACTCTGCAGGTAATAGACATGCATGTGGTACTCGTTCATAATGCAGACAAGACATTCATAGGAAAGAAATCAAATAGGATCTCTCTTTAGAAAAGGGAGGTGTGTTAGCTGCTTTTCTCCTGGCTGTGACAAAAGCAACTCCAGGAAGATCTGGTTTATTTCAGTCCATAGAGAATACAGTCCATCATGGTGGAGAAGCCCCAGAGCCGAGAGTACAGGGCAGCTGGTCCCCTCATATCCACTGTCCGGAAGCAGAGAGAGAAAAGTATCACTCAGCTCCTTTTTTAGCCCATCTGGGACTCTAGCACCTGGAACGGTACCACCCACATTTAGGGTGGATCTTCCTACCCCTGTAAATTCTTAAAAACGTCCCCACGGACATGCTCAGAGATTTTTGTCTCCTAGCCAATCAATATTAACCACCGCAATAATCATTCAGGCTTAGTTTACAGAGATCTCTTTAGAATTTCTAGTGTCATTGAGCAACAGGAAATGGCCGTGCTACAGACTACCTCAGTGAGACTGACTTCTGAACTGAGTTTAGTAATTTAGAACCAGCCAACATGCAACAATGTTGCCAATAATTTGGCAACATATTAAATAGGCAATACAATGTTTCCATCTGATACACAGGTTTTTTTTTTCTTTTTTTGGTTTTTCTTTATTTTTTTTTTATTTAATGTGCATTGGTGTTTTGCCTGCGTGTACAACTGTGTGAGGGTGTCAGATCCCCTGGAACTAGAGTTACAGACAGTTGTGAGCTGCTATGTGGGTGCTGGGAATTGAACTCAGGTCCTCTGGAAGAGCAGCCACTGCTCATAACCACTGAGCCATCTCTCCAGCCCCTAATAGACAGGTTTAATTCTCTGGTTATTTCAAAATAGATTTAAATTATTAGTTGCTGGCATATTTTTAGTAAAAAATTGGTAAGGGCTGAGCATTTTAATGTTAAGTTAAATTCCTTCTTTGAGAAGAATACTTGAAATTTCTCGGACCATTTGTTGTGAACATCTTAGAGGTAAAGGGCTTATGAACTGTACTTTCTTCCTTCTTCTATGCCTATGGCTCTTAGAATAGTCTTATTTCTAAAACTCAGAGGAAAATCTTTGGTGGTTTCCTTAATTTTACTGTTGAAGAACCACGGAAGTGAGAACGTAGAATTCACGCTAACCTGGTAAATTTCACTGAGCTGCTGGTGCCCTCTTGTGGCCAGTCCTCACACTTGCAGCTTAATTATGTTGCTAGTTAAGCTGTGGTGGAAAAGGTGGAGGAATTGTGGCTTTTGAAAGCCAGGAAGACCTTCAGGGATGTGAGGAGACTCCACTAGACTAGAAGCTATAGTTTTCTGAGCTGCACTATAAGGGAAAATACAGACAAGTACTTGATTCTCATTGAAAGACGAAAGGACGCTGTCTTAGGGTTTCTGTTGCTGTGAAGAGACACCATGACCATGGCAACTCCCATAAAGAAAAACATTTAATTGGGGTGGCTTACAGTTTCAGAGGTTCAGCCCATTATCATGGCAGAAAACATGGCGGCGTGCAGGCAGACATGGTAGAGGAGAAGGAGCTGAGAGTTCTACATCTTGACGCCCAGACAGCAGGAAGTGAACTGTATCACTGGGTGCAGCTTGAGAGGCCTCAAAGCCCACCCCCACAGTGACGCACTTCCTCCAACAAGGCCACACCTACTCCAACAAGGCCACACCTCCTAATAGCATCACCTCCAATGAGCTTCTGGGGGCCAATTACGCTTAAACTACCACAGATGTGTATTCTGGGTTGCCATCAAACACCGCCACCACATCTTATTCCAATTCTTTACCTATTGCCTCCCACGCCAGAGTATGCACTTATAAAAGAAAAAAGAGAAGTCAGTACAAGTAAAATATTGAAGTCTGTAGAGTTCACATTCATCCACAACTATTATTGTCAATTGTTACTCTTAATTATGTACTTTCAATGGAAAATACTTTGAGAAGATTTTATGTCAAAACCCCATATGCCCAAGCCCGTTTCTGAAATTTCATGTCCAATACAGGGTCTTTTATAGACTGAGCCTTCATTCAGTTGCTTCAATTAACCCATACTAATAGAGCCCTACATTACAGAACTCAATACATTACAGAAATCAAGGATGCAAATATATGATAGACACAGTGCTAACACTGATATGTAGTTATTTTCCCAAAAAAAATCCCTGCTGGGTGTGGTGGTGCATGCTTTTCATCCCAGCACTCAGGAGGCAAAGCAGGTGGATCGCAATGATTTTGAAGCCAGTGTGGTCGACGCAGCTAGTTCCAGGCCGGCCAGGACTATACAATGAGAGCCTGTCACAAAGATAGATAATTCCTTTTTGGAGGTGGGCCTCGTAGGACTGGGGCAGCCAATAAAAATTATCAAGTTTAGGAAACTTACAGGACACAGAACGTTCAGAAAGTTCCAAGAGCCATGAGATCTCTTGAGCGGTTATATAAGCAATGAGTAATTGATGGAGTACATTTCACAGAGCTGGGAGAAAGCTTCAGGAATGCAGCTTCCACAAGGCCGCAGTCCATGCTGGAACCCATCAGGGATCCGTCTGCCTGCCAAATCGCCACCCTCCTGCAAGTAACCCTCATCCATGCTGCCGTAAGTAACCACAGCAACCTCAGTGGCTCCCCAGCTAGACTTCGGCAGACTCATTTCTTTAGTCTGCTGTTAGTGCCCTATATGGGGTGGAAAGACATTTTCCATGGCTCCCGAGAAGTTATACAAGTTCTTAAAGGAAGACAAATTGGTTTATAGTCAAATTCTGTGCCTTTTTGGTAACCACTAAACTTCAGCGCCCCCTTCGGCAGCTATAGGAATTATGTTTTGTTTGTTGTTTTTTTTCGGGTTCCTTTTTCTCTTAATGTACGCCTGTTTTAACATTCCACCACATTCCCTACTATTCAGTTTATTATTTTCTAAGTGGTTGCTTGTTACAGTTTGTTAGCCCAAACTTCTTGAATTTGTAGAAAACCTCCACAGAAACGGGGCATCTGTAAGTACTCTCTCTCTCTTAAGGAATTATAGAAATGTTTTGAATTCTCCTGTGTTCCCTTAGGAAAAAGCCTAATTAGGATAAAATGTTTTTCCTGTAACATTGCTGACAGGAACCAGTGTTCCATGGAGAATTAAAAATGCCATGAGAGGAGACTGAAATGGCAGACACAGATCCTGCGTGGGTCCGCAGCCGGTCCCCTGCGTATATGTTCTAGCTGTTAGCTGGGTGTTTTTGTGGGACTCCTGCTTCTCTTACCCTTTTGCCTGCTCTTGGGACTCTTTTCCTCCTGTTGGGTTGCCTTGTCCAGCCGCGATTGAGGGCTTTTGCCTTTTTTTTTTTTTTTTTTTTTTTTTTTTTTTTTTTTTTTTTGGTTTTTTGAGACAGGGTTTCTCTGTGTAGCTTTGTGCCTTTCTTTCCTGGATCTCACTCTGTAGCCCAGGCTGGCCTCGAACTCACAGAGATCCGCCTGCCTCTGCCTCCCGAGTGCTGGGATTAAAGGCGTGCGCCACCGCCGCCGCCACCGCCGGCGCCGCTTGGCATGCCTTGTCTTACTGTATCTTGTTTTGTCCTGTTGGGCTGCCTTTGGAGGCCTGCTCTGTTCTGAAGAGGAAACGGAGGAGGGGGTGTGTGGATCTGGGGGAGGCAAGGGGTGGGTAGTGGTGTTAGGAGGAGGGGAAACTGTAGTCAAAATGTATAGTATGAGAGAAGAATCTATTTTCAATTTTTAAAAAATGCATGCGAGTAGAGGATGGTTCTACACAGAGAGAGATGAGAAAGCACCCAGTGCATGCACAGAAATCAACGCCAAAGTTGGAACTAGAGCCTTAAATTCTTGAATTCCCCATTCTCTCTACTGTTTGTAGAATGGTAGCGTAGAATCGACTCTCTTCTGCTTGTCTCTAATATTTCCGTGAGGTTTATAACTGTGATGAACTGGGAAACATGCATACTCCATACTTCCTTGGGCAGAAGCAAGGATTCTTTTTTTTAAAGATTTCTTATTTTTAATTATTGGGGGGGAGGGGGTATGTTCTCATGAGTGCAGGTACCAGGAGAAGATATCAGATCCTCTGGAGCTGAAGTTACAGGAAGCTGTGAGCTGCCCACATGGGTGCTGGGAACTGAACTCGGGTGCTGGAAAGAACAGTGCACCCTCTTAACCACTGAGCCTTCTCTGCAGCCTGGAAGCAGGGTTTCTTAATTTTGTCATCCACATTTTGGATTGGGCTGTTTGCTGTATTTTTTTTTTTTTTTCAGGAGTTGGAGGGACAGAGCGTCACTACGTAGCCCTGGCTGGACTGGAACTTGCTATATAGACCAGATTGAGATCTTCACCGAGATCCTCCTGCTTTCACCTCCTGAGTGCTAGGATTAAAGGCATGTGCCACCATGCCTGGCTTTCCTTTGTCTATCCCTTGACACTAAATGCTGGTGGCCATGTCAGAGGAGCAGGAGATAGCAACTGACTTCAGGGGAACAGGCCCATCAGGAAGCAAAGCTCTGATGGATGAATCTCAGACAGGCAAAGCTCCCTGAGAGCTTCGGCCCCGGGATGTCTCTTGCTACTGCTGAGTTTTTGCATATTGGCCGCTGCTGCCCCTTTTCTCTAGGATCTGGCATGGTGTGAATGGGTGTGGCAAGCTCCCCACTGCCTTTAATGCAGTATGATTATCTTATGGAAATGTCCTGTTCTATTGGTTATTTTACCTGTGGATTGTTATGAAGATGATTTCCTCCTACACTGCACTGTTGAACTGAAGCAATGATTTTATACAATAATAGTGTTAGCCTACATAGGATTTTGATGCTTGAGGGTTTTTAACAAATATAGTAAGGGATTATGATAGAGGTTAATTTAATGGAAAATTAACATAGGTAAAGGTAAGATAAAATGTTGCCCCTGTCCCTGATACAGCAGAGGCTGCAGAGAATAAAAAAATAAAACAAGAAACTATCACACAGCTAGAACACATGAGTTTCTGTCGAGGAGCAGTTTGGACTGTGGCTTAAATTAGTGATTAAGAGAAAGAACTGAGTCCCAGAAGTTAAGTTAGCTCAGGTTCTTTTCATCTTAATGTTGGGAGAATGTGTTCACAGGTTTTGGTGTGCATCTTAGCTAAAACAGAGCTTTAAATAATGGCTAGCTGGATGGTGGTGGCGCACACCCTTCTTCCCAGCACTCGGGAGGCAGAGGCAGGAGGATCTCTGCGAGTTCAAGGCCAGCCTGAGCTACAGAGTGAGTTCCAGGATAGGCACCGAAACTACACAGAGAAACCCTGTCTTGAAAAACAAAACAAAACAAACAAACAAACAAACAAAATGGCTTAAGGTTAGATTAAGATGTTTTTGTTAATAACTTTGAGGTGAAAAACCCAAGGAAACCATCTAAAGTTTTAGAAAGGCACATAGTTGAGTGAGGGACTCGTTAAGGTCAGGGAACAAGAACAAAGCAGTCCGATTATTACTAGCTGACGTGCCTTTCTTGCTAGAATTGTTTGATGATCAAAGATGATGATTAATTCCTTGAACCCATTTCTGCCCTCAGCTTCCTGATATTAAAAAACGAAAAACTGTTGATGAGTGGGTATGCACCCCGAGGATTTAAAATGGAGCTGACTGGTTCTCCTTCATACATAAAAGTTTAGATTTGTGATTCTTCTACGATTTCTTTTAAGATTACCTTTTGAGATAAATAATAAAATGATGGGTCCTTTCTTTGTAACAGCAAAGTTCAGCCTGCCAGTAAAAGAACTGTCTAAGAAAAATAACTTGCGTGTGAGCCCTGCTGTGGTGGTGCATGGCTTTAATCCCAGCACTTGGGAGGCAGTGTGAATACAAGGCCAGCCTAGTCTATGAATTGAGTTCCAGGACATCTAGGAATTGTTACACAGAGAAACGCTGTCTTGAAAAACAAAAACAAACAAACACCTTGCTTGCTTACACTCTGTTAATCTAAAACAAGTTGTTTGGGTATAAATGGGTTCTTGGGAATAATTTGATTTTCACCTGTAATACATAAAATGTTCAATCATGTAAGAGATATGGAAAACATGCTGTCATTGTAATCAAGAGAGATAGAGGGATACATCTGGATAGAGGTGTGTGTGTGTGTGTGTGTGTGTGTGTGTGTGTGTGTTTCCCTTGTCCAGTGGCCCCAGAGAGTTAAATTTTACTCACTCACTCGCATAGAAAAGTCAAGTTGATTGATAGCCCCCCAACTCCACAGACTCCCCCTCAACCCCTGAGCTGCTGGAGGCTGGTCCTCATGGCAGCAATAACTAACTTCTAGTGTTCCTTTGATCAGCATGGGCCCTTCTTCTCAGCTCCTCGTCCTCTGGCTATTTCTAAGAAGTCTGAGTTTTCAAGGGCCCTATCCTAGGCCCCCCTGAACCCCTCCCTTACATACAATACCATCTTTGTGTGACTGCATCTCTTTTCTTTTCCCATGTTCCTGTGTGGTGGGCAGGGATGTCAGGAACTGTCCTCCATTGCTCCTCTACCTTATTCATTGAGACAGGGTCCCTCAGTGAACCCCAGAGCTCACAGATATGGCTCGTTTGGCTAGCCAGCTTGTTCTGAGGAATCTTGTCTTTACCTTCCTATGCTGGAATTCCAGGCAGGCCACTATCCCCACCAAGCATTGACAAGGGATTCTGGGAATCTAAACCCCTGTCCTCACACTTGAAAACATGCACCTAAACTACTGAGCCATCTCCAAGCATATCTCGTCTGTTCTCTCTTTCTCCCTCCCTCCCTTCCTGCATTACAAATTGTTTCTGTAACTCTAAGAATATGAATTCAAGGGTTTTTTTTTTTTATTTCTATATTAGAGAAAGGTAAAGCAGGAGAGGTTGACATGTTTGGACAACATATAGTACTTGCCATAGGGGTTGGCACTTAAGTACAGTCATATCAAAGTTTCTTAGCATGTGCAAACCTTGGTTTGATCTCTAGAACAAAAAGACATTGGCTGCATTTTATCTTTCGTAAATGCATGTACAATGGAACTATTACTAAGTCAAGAAAAACCAGGGGAGGAACAACATTTAGAAATCTGGAGGTGCATTTTAAACATACATTTGGAATGTCTACTCAATATCTGGCCAGTGACTGACATCCATCCAGTGCTTAAGAGTGACATCAGGGGTAAGGCATAAATGTGGACGTTGTTCACCTGCAGAGAGTATGTGAAGCCACGGGAGTGAACTGAATCACCAGGGAAAGTTACTTATTTGGAGACCTGAAACCCGAGTCTCAACAGTTAGGGGTTGAAAATGGAGGAGGAAATCAGAAGAGTTGAAAAGGAAGCAGCTCAGGAAGCAGGAAAGAAGAACAAAATGTTGATGGCTTGGAAGTTAGGAGACCATATGACGAGCCTACACTGCTGAAATGGTAAGAAGATTGGGAATAAAGAAGTGCATTCATTTTACCTGATGTATGTTTTCCTGGAATGGCTCCTATGATGTTCTAGACTTGCCATGTATGTGATCTATGGTCTCATTTACCCCACTTTATTGTAACTATTTAATCACCTGTTATTATTTTTCTTTATTATTGTGGCTGCTTCTTAAGCCATGGCTGTCCTAATCAGCAGCTGCAACTCCGCTACCAGACGTGGTCTGGCCACAAGGGCAGCAGCCTGAGGGAATTCTGTTCCCGTGGGCACCGACTTTTTCAAAGCTCCTAAGGGAACTTAGCTAAATCCCTATCCCTCTAAAAAAAACTCAAGATTCAAAGGTTGAAATTGAATTCTTCTCATTCAGAGAGTCTGAATAGAAAGTAGCTAACCTTCTCCCTTTGCTGGCGTCTTTCAAAAAACCCTGCGTCCTTCTTTCAGTCCCCAGTTAAAAGCCCTTGCCCCACCTGGTTCCTCCCCACCACTTCAGGTCAGCTGGTTGCTGACTCAGCCTCCTGACTGCAAGTTAATTTTATTTATTTATTTATTTTAAAAAATCATTTATTTATTATGCATACAGTGCTCTGTCTGCATATATGCCTGCACACCAGGTGTGGGCACCAGATCTCATTATGGTTGGTTGTGAGCCACCATGTGGTTGCTGGGAATTGAACTCAGGACCTCTTGAAGAGCAATCAGTGCCCTTAACTGCTCTCCAGCCCCAGGTTAATTTTTATTTAATCAAACAAATGTAAAACACCTTTGTATCATTAAAGGTTAATGATATAAAGACATCATTAATAAAAACAAATGCAGCACATCAAGATAATATTCTCTTCTCCAGTATTCCTATGTATCAGTGTTACGGCTCTGTAACAAATTATAAACATGGTAGCTTGAAGCAACATACATTAATTCTCTCCCAATTCTAAAAATCAGGAGTCCCAAATTAGTTTGTTGGCAGGGCTGCACTCGCACGCAGGATCTAGGGTTACACGTGTCTTTTCCAGTTCTTGGTGGCTCTTGTGGTGCTATTACTCCAATCTCTGTCTCTGGGGTCACATTGCCTTTCCTTCTGGGTGTGTAGAATCTGCCTCTCATATTCCTGATTGTGTGTAGGCCCACTGCAAATACCAGGCAATCTCCCCACTTCATTGTCTTTAATTAAACCTAAAGAGGCTCTCACAGGCCCTAGGAACCAGGGTCTAATATCTTTGAGGTCAATACCAAACAGCAGTTCACATCTATATTTGCCAATGTGAATTCAAAAGTATGACAACCTACTTATTGAAGTCCATGAAAATTTATATGCACGCCTTAAGTCACACTGTAAGCTAAATCGGAACAATTATCTTGGCATTAAGTTTTATTTTATTATAGGAGTGTTTAAATAATTTTGATTTGTTGGCAAATGCAAAGTGCTACATATGAAGCTTTAAGAAGTCCACACTGTTAAACCATTTGGGATACCTGACATTTGAATGGCTGGCTGAAGGAAGAGAGAAAGATCATGTAGCTGGGCGGTGGTGGTGGCGGCGGCGGCGGCGCACGCCTTTAACCCCAGCACTCGGGAGGCAAAGCCAGGCAGATCTCTGTGAGTTCGAGGCCAGCCTGGTCTAGAAAGTGAGTTCCAGGATAGCCGGGGCTACACAGAGAAAGCCAGTCTAGAAAAAAAAAAAAAAAAGAAAGTTCATGTAGCTTTCTGTATAAAGATGTGTCACGGAGAGTAAGGATTAAATGCATGCTGTGTAACTTGATTCTCGAATAACAAAGTGTAGGCTGAGAAATACAAATTTCAACACATTATAAGGAATAATGCAGAATGGACTGCAGAAGAATACTTCCCAAAGAAAGTTATTGTTGTTGTTGTTGTTTCTAATTCTGGAAATGACTGTGGAAAGACCTAGTGGGAGGTAAGTAAAGGAGTGTCCTAGTCAGGGTTTCTATTGCTGTGCCGAAACACCATGACCACAAAGCAAGTTGGGGAGGAAAGGGTTTATTTGACTTACACTTCCATATCACTGTTCATCATCCAAGGAAGTCAGGACAGGAACTCAAACAGGGCAGGAATCTGGAGGCAGGAGCTGATGCACAGGTCACAGAGGAGTGCTTGCTTGACATGTTTTTTTTATCCTGCTTTCTTATAGCACCCAGGACCACCAGCGCAGGGATGGCCCCACCCACAATGGGCTGGTCCCTCCCCCATCCATCACTAATAAAGAAAATGCTCTACAGCCCGGTCTTAAAGGAGGCCTTTTCTCAATTAAGGTTCCCTCCTTTCAGATAACTCTAGTGTGTGTCTGGTTGACACAACCAACACAAGAAGTAAGGTAAATAATATAATCTCAGATACAGCTATGAAAATAATTTACAAGACAATCCTGTAAATGGTTGGCTCTAGATAAATAACAAGTAATAATAAGTAATCCACTTTCCTAATTATAGCCAGAGTAATTTTGTAAAAAGAAAGACCTGGTAACATTTTGCACCTGATGAAAGGCTGTTTTTGAATTGTCCCCTCGATTCCTTGGGCGTTTCATCATAAGTTCTTTTCCTGATTATCATCATCATTATTGGAACGGGATCTTGCTATGTAGCTCCAACCAGCTTGGAACTCACAATGCAAAACAGGCTGGCCTTGAACTTAAGGTGATGTTCCTGACTGTGGTTTCTTGTCTGATTTCTGGCTCAACGTTAGATGCTTCTTCCTTCTTCCCGCCTCTCTTTTTTTGCCTAAAATATTCCTAACAAAAGGCAGCTTTTCTCCAGGAAGCTTTTCTAGTATGTTAACTCAGCTAGCTTCCTATGTATGTTTGCAAACTATTCTGAACTGCTTCAAGTTAGAAATATTCACTGTATAACTGTCTTATTTCCTTGGATAAAAAGCTGAAGACGGAAACATTGTATCTCATGCAGAGAATGGCAAGTAGTAGCTGTAGTCACATACTCCTTCAATGAATGAATAGGCTAAGCTGCCTTTTATTTTTATTTTTTTCGAGACAAGATTTCACTGTGTAACAGCCTCAGGTGCCAGGCTGGCGTCGAAACAACGATCCTCCTGCCTCTCTCTGCCTTCCGAGTGCTGAGATTAAAGGCCTGCGCCACCACCTCCCGGCCTGCCTTTTATTATTTTTTTTTAAGTTGAAGTGTAAAATAAGTCTGATGAAGTAAAACAAATTTCTCTTCAATGACACCAAATTACAAAATTTCAGAAATACCAGGCTGCTTTCTGGGGAAAGTGTATTTCATGTAATAAAGTGGAGGCACATGAAATAAAATAAGCAGTCGTCAAATAAACCAGACCCATCAACGTGGACTGAGCATAGAAAACAGAAATACCGGGGAGGCAGGGCTTAATCCCTTAGGAAACACCATTCATTCTCAGCCTGGCTTTTAGAGCTGGGAATAGAGAGGGAGGTTAAGTCTTCCGCAATCCTTGCCCTTAAACCTCCAGCCTCATCGGAATTCCACCGAGTGTGGTAAGCGCCGATAAAGCAGGCACACCATTGTTAGGAAATATCTTAGTGGGGGAAGTTAAGTAGGAGGGATGGAAGGATGTGGGAAGGACTGGGTGGTCAGGGAAGCCTTTCCGGTTTAAGCTGAGACCTGCAAGACGAGCAGAAGAAGCCCGGCCGTGTGGACAACTGAAACCAACGTGCCATAGCCGGGATCTGAGATCCCGGAGGAAAAAAACAAACCAACAAAAAAAGAGACTCAAGGGCACCTTGGCTGGACTTGGCTGGACATGACCCCTGCTGGGGAAGGATGACCCCTGCTTGGTGAACCTTCCTCGGGGTCAAGGCGCCCACGTCCTCCAGCCTTCAATCCCACCGGAGTCGGGTCGGCTTCCAAAGATCAGCTCCTCCCCACCACCGCCGCCGTCAGCTTCCCCGGAGGAGCCCCGAACCCCGCCTCGGTGGCGGCGGCCGCCGGAACAAGGCCCCAAGCCAGGCTGGGTCCTC